CAGAGGCCTTTGCTCTGGGACGCCTTCCCCTCTTCACACACGAGGCTGCCCGGCCCTCCCTCTGCCTGCACTCACCGCCAGTCTCTGTGCTGGGAGGGCAGGCACGTGCTCCCTAGCCCACACGCACAGCCCTGCCTGGGGTCAGGGAAGTCATTGGGAGGCCTGTGAGCTTGACCTTCCCAAGCGTGTCCGCGTCTCTTTTCCAACCTCACAAAATGAGAAGCCCTACTGCCCACCTCGCAGGGCTGTGGAGATGCGGTGAGATCCGCGGGTCGGTAAAGCACTGGGCACCGGCTCCTCCTGAGCAAACCACCCGGTGAGCCCGTGCAGGTGCCCCCCCAGTGGCTCCTGTGCGCACATGCGCAAGCTCCCGAGGGCCGGGGCACTGCCATGTGGAAGTAGACAGGAATGCTGTGAGCCCAGGGCAGGAGAGCAAGCAGCAGGAGCAGGCCCACATTTCTGCAGCACTCGGCCGTATGCGGGGCGCTTCACCCAGGGCGCTCCATTACACAGGAGAGGAGACTGAGGCCTAGAGCTAGATTCATTGCCAAAGGAGCCCCTTCCTTTTTTTTCTTTCTTTCTTTCTTTCTTTCTTTCTTTCTTTCTTTCTTTCTTTCTTTCTTTCTTTCTTTCTTTTTTTTTACTACTTATTTGAAAGACAGGGTTACAAGTTACAGACAGAAGAAGAGACAGAGAGATCTTTCATTCTCTGGTTCACTCCCCAAATGGCCACAATGGCCGGGGCTGGGCTAGGCCAGAGCCAGGAGCCCAGAACTCCATCCCAGGACTCCCAGTGGGTGGCAGGGTCCCAAGGCCATCTTCTGCTGCTTACCCAGGCACATCAACAGGGAGCTGGATGGGAAGCCGAGCAACGAGGACTTGAACTGGTGCCCTGTGGGATGCCCGCATCAAAGTTGGCGACCTGACCTGCTGTGCCACAATGCTGACCCCTGACTCCAGGCTGTATCAGCCACAGTACAGAGCCTTGGGGCCAGACTTTGCCCCCACCAACATAAGAGCCTGACAAGAGGTAATCAGAGCAGCCTTGCCTCCACCCCTTCCCTTTGTCCCTTTCCAGGCCCAGCCTAGGTGACCACAGACGGCCCGAGGGCACAGCCATAGACAGCACCCTCCCAAGCCTGTGTCCCCAGATCCCTAGCTCCATGCAGCTGGCAGGGTTGGCTCCCTGTGGGAGCCTCATGAGTCTGTCTCCTCAAGCCAGCCAGACCCCCAGCGAACATCTCCCTGGCCGTCTAGATGTCCGCAGTGCCCCAGACGGGCTGGTGCAGAATCAGGGTCACGGGCGCGGTCTTCCTGCAGTGTGATGCCAGTGTTCTCACTGTGTGTGGAGTGCTGCTCTGAGGACTCCTGGAGTCCTCACAACCACTTATGGGATAGGGATGACTACTAATCCCACTAATCCCATTTTACAGATGTGACGATTGTTCGATTCACACCCTCTGTTTCCACCCTGAAAGTGCAACTCCCATGGTCCTCTGCTCCGACCCTCCCCCCACCCCCCCCAGCAGGCTCTCCTCAGCGGAGCCAAGCAGAAACGCTTCCAACGCCCCCCACTCGGCCCCAGAGCAGAGGCCGGGAGGCAGGCTGACTCCTCCCCTCCCAGAGCTGCTGGGAGAGCAGGACAGGGCAGAGCCGTGCATCAGGAGAGGGGCCTCCTGCCAGGCCACACTGCAGGCCCACAACCACCACCATCCCCCACCCCCCACCACCCCCCGCACCACACGGAAGAGCTCTTCCTGCCTGGTTAGCAGCTGCTGGGAGACATCGGCGCCCCCAGGAGGGAGGCTGCTGCGGAGCTGACTTCGCGAGCCCAGTAGCTCTCTCCCAGCTCAGGAGCAACCATCCCAGTGACCCAGACCAGTCCCGTCTGGTTAGAGGACCAGGCCTGGGGCAAGCAACATACGGATCAGATGCAAACCATATGGTTCTTTCAAGAAGACAAAGGGGCCCGTATCATGCCACTGCTTGTGACACCGGCATTCCCTACTGGAGTGCTGGTTCATGTCCCAGCTGCTCCGCTTCCAATCCAGCTCCCTGCTAATGTGCCTGAGAAGGCAACAGAGGATGGCCCAAGTGCTTGGGCCCCTGCACCCACATGGGAGACCCAGATGGAATTCTGAGCTCATGGCTTTAATACATTTTTTTTTTTTTGACAGGCAGAGTGGACAGTGAGAAAGAGAGACAGAGAGAAAGGTCTTCCTTTTTGCCATTGGTTCACCCTCCAATGGCCACCGCGGCTGGCACACGGCGGCCAGCGCACCGCGCTGATCCAATGGCAGGAGCCAGGTACTTATCCTGGTCTCCCATGGGGTGCAGGGCCCAAGGACCTGGGCCATCCTCCACTGCACTCCCGGGCCACAGCAGAGAGCTGGCCTAGAAGAGGGGCAACCGGGACAGAATCCGGCACCCCAACCGGGACTAGAACCCGGTGTGCCGGCGCCTCAAGGCGGAGGATTAGCCTAGTGAGCCACGGCGCCAGCCTGAGCTCATGGCTTTGGCCTGGCTCAGCCCAGGCTATTGTGGCCATTTGGAGAGTGAACCAGCAGATGGATGATCTCTCCTTCTCTGTCTTTAGAATAAAGGGAAGAAACTAAGCAGCTGATCTGACCCAAGCAAGGAGGGGCTGGGGATCATTCCTCCTGGCCATCTCGGCCTATGCTTGCCTCTGACAATGGAGCCACTCAGTGCCAGCATCTCCACAGCGGCTCTGCAGCCCAGCCCACCACCCGTGCTCCAGCTCAGGCAGCCCTGGGACTCCTGCTTGGGCCCCAGAGAGGGCACTGCTGGGAGCCTCTCAATATTGCCAAGGGCCGGCGCTGTGGCGTGGTAGGCTAAGCTCCTACCTGCAGTGCCAGCATCCCATATGGGCCCGGCTGTTCCACTTCCTACCCTAGGAAAGCAGTAGAAGATGACCCTCTGATCCCATGTGAGAGACCCAAAAGAAGCTCCTGGCTTCAGATCAGCCCAGCTCCGACCATTGCAGCCATTTGGGGAGTGAACGAGCAGATGGGAAGACCTCTCGCTCTCTCTGCCTCTCTGTAATTCTACCTCTCAAATAAATAAAATCTTTAAAAAAAAAAAATAGTGCTGGGGCCGGCACTGTGGCACAGTGGGTTAAAGCCCTGGCCTGCAGTGCCGGCATCCCACATGGGCGCTAGTTCTAGTCCTGGCTGCTCCTCTTCCAATCCAGCTCTCTGCTATGGCCTGGGAAAGTAGTAGAAGATGGCCCAAATCCTTGGACCCCTGCACCCACGTGGGAAACCAGGAAGAAGCTCCTGGCTCCTGGCTTCAGATCGGTGCAGCTCCAGCCGTTACGGCCAGTTGGGGAGTGAACCAGCGGATGGAAGACCTCTCTCTCTCTCTACCTCTCTCTGTAACTCTTTCAAATAAATAAAATAAATCTTTAAAAAAAAAAATAGTGCCCCCAGCCTGAGACCTGGGGAGGGAAACAAGGAACCACTGGACTCTCCAGGAGGCGGGGCCTCCCTAGGGAAGCTCTGTGGGGCCCCACAGGGGTGAGGAGCATTGAGAGCTGTCCCTGCTGGGCCAGAGAGGGCACCTCCTACGCCCTCTCTCACAGGAGGTGCCACCAGGTCACCTAAAAACACCAACCACCAGGGAGATAAACGTGACGGGGACAGTGCAAGGTGACCCAAAGTCCACAGCCGGGGCTCCACCAGCATGAGACGGGCTTTCTAGCACAGTGGAGTCGAGGGCCCGCGTGTGATCTGCCCCATCGCAGAAGGTGCCAGCCAAAGCAGAATCCCACCCCTTTCCTGCCCTCCACCTGATTAAAACGTCGGCAGACTCCCACTCGCAGACTGTTCTGTACCAATGTCCAGCAGCAGCAGCTCCACCCGATGAGCGCAGGGGGCAGCGGCACCTTCCTCTTCTCAGAGGGACCTTGACGCGTCTCCATCAAGCAAGGCTCCCATCTCCACGGACTCACTCACTAGAAACGAGGGCACTGGCGGCGGCCGTGTGCGCTGGCCTGTGTGAGCCATCTGCTTCTGGGAGTGCAAAACCAAGGGTGCGAAGCTGAAGAGGCCCGGGGAGGGGCGGGTGTGTGGCACAGTGCAGTGGTTAAGACGCCACTTGGGAGGCCCACGTCCCATCCCGGGGTGCCTGGTTGGAGTCCCAGCTTGGCCGATGCCGGCTTGCTGCGGATGCACACCCTGGGAGGCAGCAGACGGCAACTCAGTGGGTCTGGGCCCTGTCACCCAGTGGGAGACCTGGATGGAGTTCCTGGCTCCTGGTTTGCTGCTGTGGACATCTGAGTGATGAACCAGCAGATGGGCGAGCTCTATTTCCCTTTCAAATAAATTCACACACACACACACACACACACACACACACGAATAACAGCAGCTTAAAATCATGTGTTTGCGAGAGAACTGAAGGAGAAAGCTAGGGCCACCATCCTTTTGTCGGCCGTTTATCACGGCACTCTGCAACCTGCATGACACCTGCCAGAAAGGGCCCACGCCATGCGGCCAGCAGGGGAGGGGAGGGAGGCAGGCAGGGCAGGAGCAGCAAGGGGCCCTCTGATTCCACCAGGACACAGTGATGACCTGAGCCACCCCTTCCCAGCACCACAGGGAAGGGTGGGGCTGGAAGCAAGGGGAAGGGAGGTAAGGGGTGGGGCTGAAGGGAGAGCCACAGACTGTCAGCCCACCCCAAGCCTCTGAGCTCTGGGGGTGCAGGGGAGGGGGTGGCCTCTCCGCGTGTAGGGAGCTGGGCTACAGCACCGGGGGCCCAGGCACTGGGAGGTCCCTGAGCCTTGGTCTCCTCGTGCATAAAGCTAGAGCAGGTGTCCACGCGCACCTCTGCACTGCGCTGATTAACTCGGACACCTGGGGCGGGGCCCCGTGAAGACGAAGCTGCCTTCCCCCCTGCTACTCTCGATCAAGAAGACCGAGGCCGAGCCCTGCATGCGTGCGCGCACACACACACACACACACACACACACGACAGCCGGGTAGAAAAAGGACCCGCAGAGGTTTAATTGATGCAGAACACACAGGATTGTCACCAGAGTTGGTCGTACCACACGAGCGATTCCAAAGCACATACAACGAGCCAAGTAACAAAATGGGCTTTCTCTGTGCAGTCGGCTGATGCCTACAAAGTACCTGAGGGGGTAGAAAAGCCAAGGGGATCTCAGTTTCTTTTTCCATGGCAACGAAATGAGGGGCGGGGCGGAGACAGCTAGCTTTGAGGCCACGGGGAGGCAGGGGCAGCCCCACAGCTTTCAAGAGAAGAAAAATGGGGGCATTTTGTTGAGACAACGGGCCGGAGCCCCCGAGGCGCGTGCCGCAGGAAGCTGCGCCAGCACGGCAGCCGCTCCGCCTGGCAGGAGGCCCCTCGCTGCCAGGCTCTGGGACGAGGCGGCCGTGGCATGGGGCAGGGGGTGGGACAGGCAGAAGGGACGGAGCTGCGAGCCTGTGCACAGACCCAAGGCCTCCTCACGGAGGAGAGTGAAGGCCAGAAGCCGCCCCGCCTCTCCCTGGGGCTCTCTGGCTTCCTGAAGAAGTATGCGTGAGACCTGAGATGCGGGCTGCTGGCGCTGGGAGAGGCGGGCACTCCTGAGCCCGGGGGAAAGCACAGTGCTCGGAAGGGGACAGAGGGAGAGGCAGCGGAGCTTCCTGGGGCCCAGCAGCCACAGTGGGGCTCTGGTGGCCGAGCCCAACCCTGAGAGGGTGGAGAGGAGAGCCGGGGAGCAGCCGCTGAGAACAGAAGGGTCTGACCTCCGCCAGGCTGAGGTACTGGAGACACGGTGTGGCCGCGGGGCGCAGACAGGCAGGGCACTCGGTCCTAGTGGTCCCAGGGAGCAGCTCAGCTCCAGATCCCCGTGGTCTCGGGAGGCAGCTCCTCTGATGCCAACCTCCGGGCCCAGGTCCCCAACGCCCCCAGCTGCCGCACACCTGCAGCACTGCTGTGCCTTCGCCAGAGCCCACAAAGCCGCCGCATGTCCACCTGAGCCACGCCACATGGTCACAGAAGCCATGGCTTGTGGTTTACCGATGCTGCCACCTGTCCTCCCAGCCCCGAGCAGGGCAGGCGGCAAGGGGACAGGAGGACACCGTATCAGGGGGATAAAGTGCAGGCAGCTCCTCAGGCACTTGGTCTGTGTGTGCAGGAGGCCGGGCTGCCCCAGAGCCCCGGCTCGGGGCCTCAGTAGCGATACACCTTCAGGGTCTTGTCCTCATCCAGCCCCAGCTGTAGCAGGCCCACAGTGGCTGCTGGCTTGGGCACGGAGAAGAGATGTCTGGCCACAAGGTGAAGGGAAACTCAGGTCAGCTGGGCACGACTCGGCAGGGGCCGCGAAAGGGTCACAGGCAGAAGGAAAGCACGCCCAGGGGCTGGACCAAGGCTTGGGACCAGCAGAAAGGATACGACTTGGGGTCGTTCCGGAAATGTTCCAGCCACCTGCGGTTAGCCTCGATGATGCCCTGGAAGTTGGTGCTGCTGGCCTCGGGGACCTGGGACTGGGGGCGCTGCAGGAAGCGGAGCTGCTCACTGCAGAGGGTGTGGGGAGGGGAAGAGAGCAGGAGCGGGGCCGACCGTCACATCCCCTTGCCGTGCAACTGGAGCTTTCTCTGGCAATTCAGAGCCCCTCCTCTGGCAAGAGCTGTCCCCCAGAACCACGAGCCTCGGCCCTCTGCCCCCTCCCTGGGTGCCCACTACCGGCAGGAGCTCCAGGCTCCCGCCTCTGCCTGTTTCCAGCCAAGCTCATCGGCAAAGGGCTCCCCTCAGCCAAGTCAAATACTCGCCCAGCATCAGCCCCCAAACTGGCCAAAGTGACGGCGGGGGTACTGATGGTTGGGGACTGAGCAGGGAAGGGGGGGAGACGCTTGGCAAGGAGTGAGATGAATGGGAAATTAATAACAGGTTTAAATAATCGCCCGTCTGTCTCCCCGACAGGGTGCTCCTCTTGCTCCAGATGTCGCTCAGCAAGACTTGGGGAAGAAGGCAGCAGCGGAAGCAGAGCCCTCGATGCCAAGGACAAAGGCCGGACACCAGGGCTGCCGGGGTGGGGGTGGGTCACAGGAAGGGGCACAACCGCCAAGGGCTGACTCTGCCCACAGGGACCACAGGGCAGCTCTCTGCTGAAGCTGGCCGGGAAGGCCCAGGCCCAGCGCACTGGAACCACAGAGCCGTGGAGTTGACCCTGCCCTGGCTGTGGACAGTGCCTCAGACCCAGGCAAGGGGCAGGCAGCTCTGTGGACCGGGGCCTCATCTCTCCGGGCAACAGGACCAGGAGGCGTGCTCCCCTCCAAGGCCCCACCTGCCCAGGGTGGTGCAGGGAGCAGCCTGAGGTGAGGGTCCACTCCGGGCCCACGGGGAGCCTTACCTGGCAGACACGTACCCCAGCTTGTTCTCCAGGGGGGGCGGGCAGTTACTGAGCAACGGGATGCCAGCTGGAGACGAACGGGCAGTGAGTCAGCAGAGCCAGGCCCCAGCATCTGCCCACCAGCACCCCCCCGCCCCCACACAGACAAGGCAGTGCCCCCAGAGCACACAGAAGCAAGTGAAGTTCCGGTAGCTGCAGGTGAGGCAGGAACTGTCCTACTCATGTTGATTCTAAAAGTTAATCTACTTTCCATTGGGAGGGGCAGGCAGAAAGTATGTTTTTGCTTTTGTTTTGTTTTTCACTTTTTCCCTCAAATGACGGCTTTTCACATTCCTCGGCAGGGCTGTGGGACCAGGGAGGCCGCCTGGCCCTGGAGCGAGGGAAGCCACGTGGCTCAGGGGTTATAAACAGAAGCCTGGAGTCACAGAGACACGGGGTCAAAACCCAGCTCGCTGCTCACTCACGGAGCATCCCAGAGCATATTACTTAACCACCCGGGGCTCCGTTCCCCATCTGTGCAGTGGGGATAACTATCACAGCCTCAGGGACCCATCAGCAGGAGGAAATGAAGACATGCACACAGGGTGCCTGGCCCGTGCGGTTGTGGCCCAGGTGGTGGCGCGGGCCCTGCAGGTTCTGCCCAGGCTCGCGTGAACCACCACGAACCGCACAGCTCTGGCTCAGGGCCACCTGCGGGCTCCTCTTCACGAGGGACCCACGGACCTGGCTCAAGCTGAGGCAGGGCAAGGGGTAGGCAGAGAGGATGAGCAGGAGGAAGGGCGTAGAGGGGAAGAGGAGGAGGTGGGAAGGCTCCGCCCAGAAGCAGGCCCTGCCCCGAGGGAGGCTTACATGGAAAATACTTGCGCCACTTCTCCAGCAGGAAGTCGTCCACTGTCTGAGCCACGGAGGAGGAGAGCCTGGGGCCCAGCCCCGGGTCCCAGGCCCACGAGGTGGACACGGGCGAAACAGGAGACGCGGCTGGGATGGGGGTCAGGGAGGGGTAGGCAGGCGTGGGGACGCTCTTGGAGGGCCGGGCTGAGAACGGGGCCGGCGTGCAGGCGAAGAGTGGCTGCGGGGGCGGCGGCGGTGGCGGCGGCGGCGTGCCGAGACTGCCCAGCATGCTGAGCACCGCGTTCAGCTCGCTGCTGATGCGCTGCAGGGAGCTGCTCAAGTGGTGGATCTTGGTGGGGAAGATGGGACTCGGGGTTGGCGTCGCTGGAAGAACAAGGCAGGCGCTGGGCTTGGTTCAGGGCCCTGAAACGTCCCGCCCAGCTGGCACCGTGGCACCTGGGGCGGGGCCTGGGGGCGAGAGGGCTCCTGTGTCCCCCACAGTGCAGACAGCAGCTGGCCCTAGACAGCTGAAGGGGAGAGGACCCCGCTGCCCAGCAGCAGGTGGCCGCCGCAGAGGGAGAGCAGCTTCCCGGGAGGGGAGGCTCACCAGGCCCGACGTCTCCCGACCAAAGGCTCCATGGCGCTCAGAAGGCCCCCCTGACCCCCTGGGCCCTGCCTGCCCCAACCCACACAGCGTCCCTTCTTGCCAGCGCTTCTAGACGTGGGCTCAGAGACCTGTCCCCTCAGTGCTGAGGGCGGGGACTGTGCCCCTGTTCCCCAAGCTCCTCCCTCTCCCAGATGCAAAGGCCCCACCCTTGCCCTCTCCACCCCCTGCAGCCACCACACTCACCAGGAGGCAGGGAGGAAGATTCACAACTTTCACTGCTCTCTTCCTCCTCGTCGCTGAGGTCAAAGGTCACCACCTTCTTGGTGGGGGCTCCTCTCAGAGTGTCCTCATCGGAGGCCTGACGGGCAGACGTGCTAGTCTTCACCCCCGCTCCCCAGGGACTTGCTACCCCCTTGCCCTTGTGATGTGCGGACAGAGGACTTGGTGACTGGGCTCGTCTGGGGCCCAGAGTCCCAGCAGACACCTCGGAGAGGCTAAGAGAACCCAACTGCCTGAGAAGAGGCCGAGATCGGCCCCCACTCCCAGTCAACTCCTCTGCAGTGTGTCTGACACTGGAGCTCCAAGCCCTGGGCGTCCAGGGGAGAGTCCACAAGGACCCAGGGAAGGTGGGCACCCCTGCCACAAGCATCCATCTCAGAGAGCTGGCCACAGCCCTCCTTGGGTGCCTCTGGGGGGTAAGGACAGGTGTTAGTCCCCCTGCTCTGGGACCTTCTCTGGAGGCTCCAGGTGTGCTCGGCACCACCCAGCTCAGACAGCCAAACCCAAGGGCGCTCAGCAAGCTCAGAGACGAGCCACTGCCATCTCTACCTCCAGGACCCTGAGCCCACTGCCCAGCCCCGGGCTCTCAAGGCCCAGCTCCCCCGGAAACAGGCAATGCCAGGACCGGAAGAGGGAGGTGGGCTCCGCAGCCACAGCGCTGTACCTCTTCTCGAAGGGAAGACTCCAGCTCGTTCAGCTTCTGCTCTTTCTTCTTCAGCAGGTCACGGCCTTTGCGCATGGCCGACTTCATCTCATCCAGGTGTCTGGTCTCCTGCAGCCAGGGAGGCGGGGGAGGAGCAGTGACTAACCACACAGACAGCAATCTGGCTTCCAGATTGGTTATTTATAATCACTACTATCATCATCACCACCACCGCCAGTGTTCAGAGAGATTAAGCTGAGTAACAGCCTGGGGAAGATACCCGAGAAGCCTGCCCGTCGGCCTGTGCCAGCCCCTGGCCCTCTGCTGCCCCCGGGCCGGGTTCAGGACCACAGGGGCCTGTGTCCCCTCCCCAGCTCTTGGCAGTATCACAATTCTAAGGGCGCAGGCATGAACCAAGAGAGCCCAGCTGCAGGGACCCTCCCCTGGCGTAAAGTTTGGTGGCCTTAACCCTAAAAATGAAGTCTGCCTCTTCACTGCAAATTAAAAAGAAGCAAAACAGAGACAGAACTCAGACTTACCCTGAGAATGTTCAAAAGATTTTCATTTACAAAGTCCTTAGTGCAACAGAATGGAAAAGCAAAACCCTGGATTTAAAAATTTTTTAAGCCTTAATTGTACTCTTGACCAGAAGGCCAGACCAAGGGCACAGGCTAAATAGCCTGTCTCTGAAATGCTTGGGAGCAGAAGTGTTTCGGATTTTGGAATCTTTGCAAAGACTTTCCCATCCAAACCTCAGAGCGCTCTGGATTGTGGATGTTGGGTGCGGGGCGCTCGGCTTGTGCTGCCTGGCACAGTATACGTGGCCATCACAAGGCTCCAGGGGTTTACTGTCAGAGACGGTGTCGCCACCCCCCCACACCGCCCCATGACACCGCGTTCCGCAGGCTCCCTGCCCGGGGCCTGCAGGCTCTCCTCCGGGCTCCTGACCTCCTCCAGGTTCTTGCGCACATCTTCCAGGACCTTGGAGCCTGGTGGGTCTTTGGCCACCTCCTGAGCACTGGCCAGCTCCTGGCGCCAGTGCTGCCGGGCGGCCTTCAGAGCCGTCTGCCGCCTCTGCATGGAGCGCGTCTGCTGCACCAGGAACTCCTTGGCACTGCGGAGGGCTATCCCTTCAGCAGAGAGATAGTGCCGGACGCTGCAGAGGTGAGGCCAGGCCAGGGGCATTGGAGAAAGAAACAGAAGACTCTAAATTCTGCTGAAGGAACATGGCCATTTCCCCGGCAGAGGCCCACATGGGCACAGAGAGGAGCGGCTGGGCTGGGGTGTGAGGTGCCGGGGTAAATGCCTACACCATGCAGCATATGGGGCTAAAAGCTCCCACCATGATTCTGAAAGGGACCATGCCCGCGCCTCCCAACCCACGACCGGACTCTCCCAGCAGTTCAAGCTTCAAGCAGAGGCCAGCACGCGGTCCCTGGGCCTCCCCCGGAGGCAAGCCCACTGGTAGTCACTGCCGCCTCATGCCTGCTCAGCCAGCTGTCACACGGGCTCTCGTTCACTCCATCACGGGCCCTCAACCCGGTGTCAGACGGGCTTTCGGAACTCACCTGTCCAAGGACAAGGGGCTCTCCTCCTTGCTCTGGGAGAAAGAGGATGCCTCTTTGGCCAGGTTCTAAGGACACAGGGTAGAAAAGACCCACTGAGGGCAGCAAAAGCAGATGCCCTGCAGGACCAAGAGACCCTGAAGCCCCTCCCAGTGCCCAGACAAGGAAAAGGCGCTGCCAGCTGCCAGGCACTGCCCACGGGCGCCATCTGGCGTGTGGAGAGGCCGCAGGGGGCTGGGCTGCATGCAGGGCAGAAGCAGGCCCCTCCTGAGGACCCACGCCAGCCCTGAGCCCCAGCTCACTGTCCCAAGGGATTTCCTCAGGTCTTCAATGCGGAGACTGGGCTCAAAATGTGGAGCAGCCTGGTGACTCTCCTCGGCCGCCAGCTCCTGCAACGTGGACTGCTTCCTCTGGACTTCAGCCTCCAGGCTGCTGTGAGGGGAAAGAGGAGCGGAAGTGGGGTGTGAGACGCAGTCACGCCACGGGACCACCTCCACACCCCCCTCAAGACCCCCGAAGCAGGCGGAGCCGAGGCAGGAACAGTAGAACAAGAGACCCCACCGTGTTCCACAGCCTCTTCACACCTCACTCCCTACAACTGTAGCAGACACACCCCTCCGCCTGGTTCCACGTCAGACCCGCCCCTCTGCCTACTGATTGGGCCATGGTGAGGCAGGGGCCGTGAGTGACAGAAGGCAGAGGCCAGGCGGAGGTGGCCACGGGGGACAGGTCCCGGTGCCCACACACCTGACGTGTCTCTGCAGTCTCTGACTCTGCGCCTGCAGCTGATCCAGCTGGGACTCCAGGTCCAGCTTGCGAGCCTGAAGCTCATCGAGCACCCTCCGGAGCTGCCGGCTCGACTCCATCAGCTGGGCGTGCTCCTTCTTCGCCTCCTCCAGGTGCCGATGGGTGGCTGTGGCTTCCTGGGGTGGGGAAGAGACAAGCACCGGGAGACGTCAGGGGAGCAGGCTGCACTAGAGGGCGAGGGGAGCCGGAAGAGACAGCAGGGGACGTAACTCAGAGCCGCTGGCTCTGCGGTCAGGCAGCCAGGGGTGCACAGGCTCCCGTCCTCCCTCCACGGCCCCACTCCCCGAGGACCCCGAGCTGGAGTCCCCAGAGCAGTGCCCTGGACAGGCCTGCACGGAGGAGGAGGACAAGAGGAGACAAACCTCTCTCTCCAGAGCCACCTGCCTCTGCACGTCAAGCAGCTGCTGCTTCTCCTTCCGGGCCGTCTTCTCCTGCGGGCCAGAGACGGGGCCCTCTGACCGACTACACACCCCAGCTCTCAGGGGCAGGTGTGCTCCCTCTCTGGGGGAGCAGACCCAAAGGTCAAGGATGCCTGTAGACGCTGCCCCCACCACAGCTCCCTCACCTGCACGTCCAGCTGAGCCAACTTGGCCTTGACATCTTTGGTTCTTATTTCAAGCTCCACCTCTAAATCCTGGAGTTTCCTTTCCTGCCCACAAGACACAGGTGGAAAGTAAACTGCGTGGACAGCGTGTAAGGCATCAGCAGAGGAACATGAAGGCACTCCGGAACATACCATACCACACCCCAACTGCCCAGCAGGCACAGGCTTCCTCCCAGCATGCCCCAGTCGCCTCCCAGGAAGGCATTAAACCTTCCCCTCGTGCACAGGAGCAAGGAGAAGCACAGGCGTCAACCCGAGGCCTGATGTGAGTTGTCGTCTCCTGACCCTGGGCCTGTTTCCTGGCCCAGGAATGAAAGGAGCAAAGGTGCCCAGCCTGGAGCTGACCATGAGCGACTCCATTCCTGAAACTGTCAGGTTCCGTCCCACCATGGCCGCAGCACTCTCCTACCGCCCCCCAGCCCCCCACCTGCTCCCGCTGCCGGCGCCACAAGTCCTCGCGCTGCTTGTCCTGCTCCTGCCTCGTGCTCTCCAGCTCTCGCTCGTGGGCCCGACGCAGGCGCTCCAGCTCTCCCGTCAGGTGTGCCAGCAGGTCAGCCCGCTGCTTCCTCTCCTGCAGGGAGGGCGGGGCCCCACACACCCCAAGAGTCACAGTTCTCCCCATTCCTCAGCCTTGGCTCAGTAAGACCAGGACCACCATCAGCCCCTGAGGCCCAAGCAGCGAGGACAGCATGGGGTCAGCCCCCAGGAAACCTGCATCCCTCCCCAGCTGAAGCAGACGTTGGCTAGTGCCACAGGGAGTCCCCTCTGGGAGCCGGGCTCCCCTCTTGTTCAACTCTCCTCCATAAGGGAAATCACTGATAAATCGTCACCATTCCTCAGCAGGGCAGTCAGTGGGGCGGGAAGGACGGCGACCAAATTTCATCATGGGACACTGGTTCTGCCCCCAGGGGATGCAGGAAGAGGCTGGGGTACAGGTTCCAGTCACTGGGGCAGGGGCCTAAAATCCGCCCCAGAGGCCTGGCTCTGGGCTCAGGTCGGCCGCCCCACCCGTTTGGCTTGGGTCTGCTCAAGTGACTGAGCCTCCCCTTCTTAAGGCCAAAGGGTGAGGGTGGGCAAAGGGTCTCTAAGTAGCAGCTGGCCCTTGCCACTCTGTTTTCAGATGTCCCAAAACCTTGATTAGCCGTGGCAGCATGGTGTCAGAGGGAGGGAGATGGGAGGTTTTGGACTCGGACAGCCTGGACTGGAATCTTGGCTCTCAGGAAGGTTAATTAAATTCTCCAAGTCTCGGTGTCCTCATCTTTAAAGTAGACATGGCAACACTGCCGTTTCCTAAGACAGTAGTGAGGACTTAACGGGTCACCCACAAGGAGAGCTCAGAACAGTGCCTGGCGCACAGCACAAGCCAGTCTGCTGGCAGTGCAGCCGGCCTCATAGGACTCACCTCCCAGTAGGGGCCTTTGTCCAATGCTTTAGTAACAGGCAAACAAGCAACTTCACCATTGCAGGGCTCATGGAAGAAAACCTCCCCCGTTCCCGACCACAGTCTGTCCCCCTTTCCCGACCCTGCAGCCAGCTGGGAGAGGCCCCGGGAGTCACACCGGGGGATGCAGCCGCACTACCTCCACTTCGTACTGCTCTCTGGCCTCAGCCACCGCTCGCTGGTGCTCCTCCTTCATCCTGTCCAGCTTCCTCTCGTGCTCCCTTTCCACCTCCTGGCGCTTCTCCCGCAGGAGGCTGCTGAGCTGCAGGGCAGACAGCAGGGGTCCAGCAGGCAGGACACAGGGGTGGACCAGCACACCTTACACACATCTCCCCATTGCCCCTGACATGCACACACATGACACACACCACGCATGGTGCATGCACAGCCTCCCCCACCAACACTCCCTCTGTGCATACAGCAGACTGGGGATAGGACCCAGCCTCGAGGAACTAAGGCACAAAAACGGAAGGAGAAGTGCTAGCCCCCGCTGGGTCACCCGCGGCACACTGGGGGACACTGAGGCCAGGTCGGCTCAGTGACCCCACGGGAGCCCGGGACAGGGGGAGCAGCACTCACCTCCTGCTCGTACTCAAGCACTTGGTGAAGCTTCTGGTAAGCTCTCTGCTCTGCCTTCCCCAGGCTCTCCCGCAGCTCAGCCTCCTCTCTCTGTTGAGCTTCCTCAATCTTCTTCTGCAGGCCGGACAGCACCTGAGGCAGCCCCAGAACGCAGGGGAGTGTGACATTCGGAGACGGGTAAGCTCCCGTGGGGCTCATTCCTGGGGGTCCAGCACCCAACCCAGGGGCCTGGAGGGAGAGGGAAGCTCCCCCTTGTAGTCATGGATGGAACTGAGCTCCTCTGCTGACCAGGGGCAAAGGGGGCCACAGGGCTCACACCCAGGCCCTGCCCCCGGAGGCCGAGGCCGGCAGCATCTCACCTCCTGGTGCTCACACCCAGGCCTGCCCCCGGGGGCCGAGGCCGGCAGCATCTCACCTCCTGGTGCTTGGTCTCCAGCAAGGAACGCTGCTGCTCTAGCTCAGTTCTGTGCTCCTGCTCCAGCCTTGCCAATGCCTGGGGAGCGAGGGGGGCCCATGTGGGAAGCAGGGCAGGGATGCGGGCTGGTAGCAAGCATGGGGGAAGGTGCAGGGAAGACCTGTAGAAAGGAGCCGAGGGCAATCACAGGGGCGGCTCAGCCCCTAAAGGCTGCGAGTGGCAAACACGCAGGAACATGAGGGCTGGAGCAGCACCACTCCCAGCCCTGCCTCCGGGCCGGGCCACAGGTAACACAGACGGCATGCACAGCTATAAAGATGCCTGGGCCCGGGAGGGCAGGGAGCTTAGGCACATTCTCTCTGAGCGCCTGTGGTAGAGGGCCGTCCCCCAGTTCTGATGTAGTTTTTCTGGGCCTAATGGCTCAAACTCCACTCCTCATCAAAAAGCTAAAACAGCCCACAGAGTCCGTCATGGCGAGCAGACTCTGGCTGCAGGGAGAGGGAATGAGGGGGCAAAGGAGAAACACCCTCTAAGTCGCAGCCTCTCGTTCTAAGACAGGAGACAAAATGGGGCAGAGGAAGTCACTCCCGACGCCCCGCAGGGCCAGGTCGCTCTGTCTCGGGCTTCTGACGGCGGCTGCTGCCACAGACCCAGCCCAGCCCCAGAGGGGCCTCGAGACACCTGCAGTGACCTCGGTGCTGCAGTGGAGACCAGGGCCAGCACCTGACCCGAGTCAGCTCCCCGAGACCAACGGGCCCAGAGGGTCAGTCTCCCACGCCGTCTGTGTGCCATGCCCACGCCTGCTGCAGGTTTGCTCTTCATCTTCCTCTACGCTCAGTCCCGCCCTGGGCAGCCCTGAGGGAGACGTGTCGGAGAGAGGCCCCACTCCACTTGCTCACGTCTTTCCGCTCCCCTTGCAGCCGCTCCCTCAGCTGCCGCAGAGCCTCCTCCGTCTCCGCTCTCAGGGCAGCCTGCTCGTCCTTCTCCAGAGCCGCCATCTCTTCTCTGAGCAGCTCCAGCTTCTGCCTGCTCTGCTGTTCCAAGCTGGCCCTCTCCGCCTTCTCTAGAGACTCCAGCTCCTCTCTCAGCCTCTGCAGGGAAGCCTCTTGCGTGGCCCTGGGTAGACACAGCGGCATGCTCATGGGCCTGTGCACACCGGGACAGCCCCACGGGGCTGGCAGTGCCCAGGTGTGCACTCACCTGATTTGGTCCTCATCTGCCTCTGTGCTGGAGCGGAGCTGTGCTCGGAGCCGGGACAGCCTCTGGCTCTCCTCTTCCCTCATCCGAGCCTCCTCCTCCTCGGTGGCTTTCTGCAGCTGCTCCTGCAGGGAACTGGAAGGCAAGGCAAGGCAAACTTGCTGGAGGGAACGTGGGGTCTTCCCCCTCCGATTGCTAACCCCATGCTGCCTCCCTATAAAACATCCCAGGGGAGTAAGAGGGCCGTGAACTCCAGCCATCGCAGCAGAGCTGCCCTCTGCCTGCACGTTCACTCCTGCAGGCATTGTGTCACGCACTCAAGGACCCCATGGTGACTCTGGCTCCGCACACTCTCCCTCCCCAGCCTTTCCCCTGAGCTCCAGGGGCATCTGCTGAGCCACCGCCTCCGAACCCTCTCACACTCTTCCCTGCCTCTGTCTGGGTCTTTTCTCATGCCAGCTGCTCTGCCCAGAGTTCCCTTTTCCGTCTCCGTCTGGCCAGCTCAAATCCCTTGCTCAATACCCATCTCTCTGCTCTCTGCAGTGTGCTCACAACTCCCTCCCAGTTCCCAGGTTCACCTTCCATTCCCACTGCACTTTACACACCGACCTCTCTTACCCAGCCGATCTGCACCACCCACGTAACAAACTGCATCTCTTTTGAACCTGTGCTTTCCTTGCGAGTCTGGAAACTTCTCCAGGGAAAGAATCTTGTTTTCAAATCTGTTATATCCCAGGCAAGGAACATCGTAACAGACCCAAGGAAGGTGCTTAACCAGTGCGTACTGAATACGAACAGCATGGGCCAGCCTCAAACTCTAAGCCTTCGTTACCCCTGAGTGCTACCTTATTTACAGGCCATGTCATCCCGAGTGCCCTTTTTGGGTAACTCCTCACTCAGCCCCCACACAACCAGAAGACGTGTGCCGTGCACTCGGCAGAATTTCAAGTGAAAGCAAGGCCTGATCCAAGACAATTTCTTTGAAACCCTTCTGTAGCAAATTCAAAAGCCCTAAAAGATTTAGGATCGGATCATTTTCAAGTTATCCGCACCTCTGCTCTCTTCCATTATGAGAGATTTGAGTCAAGTAAAAACCCTTCCTCCTAGGGTCCCCCAGAAGCTCTTTCTTCGACCTCCAGTGACACAGAACGTTAGACCTGGCGGGGATCACCAAGGCAATCCAGTCTCTTATTCTACAACTCAAGAAACTAAGGGCCGGCCTGCCCGCCTGCCTGCCTGCCTTCTCATTCAAGAAATACCTCCTACACAAACAGCTGTGGCTTCCAGAAAGTTCCACCACATAGAAGTTTCCCAGCAGAGAGCAGGAGACCCCACCTCTCAAAAAGGCTCAGGCACAAACAGAAGGGCTTCTCATGAGGGACAGTTTCGAAGCAAGCCAGGCAAGGCACTTCCCCCAGAGCAACCACTCCGCCGAGACTGGCTGAAGCGACTGATCCCAGCTGAAAATGGAGCAAGGGCTGCTATTTACAGAGCGACTCTCATTTCCCAGGCCTGAAGCAGATATCTGCGGCATGGCAGTCTTTCCCACGAATGGAGGGGGCTCCAGAAAGGTCCCTCTGGACTCAGGGCTTGAGGGAAGTGAGAAGAAAGTACAGTCCAGTCACTCGGGCCCAGGGAGGCCAGCTGGCGCAACACCACCAGGATCTCCCCCAGGACACTGCCTCTCCAGGTGCGCTGTGTCACAGGCCACCCGAGTGGGCCCCGCCCCAATCTGCAACCGGCTCCAGGAAGACGACACTGAGGAGCTGGGGAGAGGTCTGCTCTTTGGGATGCACAATAAAAAGACCCCAAGTCAGCAGATCCTGCACTGGGCCAATGAGAGTGACTGCCCCTGAACACACACACCCACTCCCAGTGCTCAAGTTCTAGTTTCCTGTTTCATTTTCTCTAAATTAAGCACAGATGTCTTACACACTCTTTGCTATGTATGTTCTAAAAATAGTAATTCCCCACCACTCTTGGATGTTCAGCTTAATAGACGGGAGCTAGCCTTAAGTTACATCCTCCACTGTTGCTACTAACAGACCCCAGGTGTCCATCTATCAGGTAAAGAGGCCAGCAAAGGGACTCCGTTTCTCGGCCTCCTTCGCAACTAGGGGGAACCACGAGACAGAGCAAACGTCACTGGGTGAAGTTTCCAGAAGCAGCAGCCCGGTGCTCTCCAGGGTGGGAGGAGGGCTCCCCCCGCTCCTCCGTCCCTGTGAGGGCCCGGGGAGGGGGCTCAGGGACGGGCAGGACCTGAGAGACTTCACTTTCTGCTGGACGACCTCCTCTTCCTCCTCTTGCCACAGCTTCTCCCGTAGCTGCTGCATCTTCTCTCGCTCCAACTCCAGCAGCCGCCTCTGGTCTTGTTCAAGTTCCTGGGCCACTGCCTCTTCCACGGCCTTTAGTGCGGCCTCCGAGGGCTGCTGTGGAGGAGCCGCAGGCTCTGTAGATGGCCTGCCATGGTAGGAACAGCGCGTCACTACAATCTTAGCATCTGCCCAGCTTGGGGCTTCAAGGTTCACAAGGGTACAGAGGGCCCAGAGTCAGGAGTCACCTATGCAGGTCACTGCCCAGGTCCCCCTCAAAGATATGGTCAATATATGTTCTATAGGGCAAGCCCCACTGTGGCCCTCTAAGGCCCCAAGAGACATGGGGAAAGGCAGGCCAGGGACCTGGGAGATCACCGCCTGAGGGCAAAACTAGAGCTGTGGCTCAAGGGCTCGCAGCAGCAGGAAGACAGTGAAGCCCGGACCCTGCTGGATGCTTCCCCACAGTGGCTCACGGTCCTCTTTCTTCCCACCAGGACTCTGCCTGCTACGTAAGGCACGTGCCAGGCTCCAGACAATGCCGTCTCCCCAGTACATAGTGCATATGAGCCTGTGAGAGAACCGGCAGGACGTCCCCCAGCCCTGTGGCCTGCAGCAGTCCGTGGAGGTCCAGGGATGGGCAGGACACACCTCTCTGAGCCAAACACGTAGCGAGCGCACCCCAGGACCACTATGTCCCATGCCGCCCCATGGTGGCACGCTGGAATCTGCGTAGAGTGAATTCAATGTTTTGGAAATGGGTAAAAGGAACCCAGAGCTGACTTGGATACACGGAGGGCTGACAAGATAAGGAATATTTGCTTGGTTAAAAAGAAGTCTATGAAGCAATGCAGACTGGCATCTGGCTTGCATTCTGGTTCTGGAAGGAACTACCCGAAGGGAAACCCTGGGAACAGCTGGAGCAATGCACGCACAAGCTCACTGATGTCCTTCACCTCCTACAGCGGCTGTCCCAACGGCCGGGATGTCTTCCTGTTTCCAGGCCCCTGCCCCATATGGCAGACCCTGGCTCACAGCACAACCACCACCCCCCACCCCTGCAGGATGCACAGGCTGCTGTGGGCCTGGCGCTGGGGCTCAGGCGGCCTCAGCAGGAACATGTGGGCACGACTCAAATCAAAGGGGAAGGGATAAGAGTCAAACGGGGGGGGGGGGGGGTCCTCGCTGCTGGAGACTCAGAACTCCCCTCTGCCTCCAGCCCCTGAACCGCAGCAGACGGAAGGCAATGGGCAGGGGCAGAAGAAAACAAAGGCTTAGGAATTTGTTCACAGCCCCTTGAGCCTAGCCAGCGAAGGGAGACCAAAGTGGCTGCTGACGTCTCTGAAATACCATTAAGACCTTCCCTAAAATCACAACTCAAACCAGAGCAGTCTTGAGCCCTGTTTTTCTATTCTTGTCTGCTCTCAACTCCACCTCTTCCCTCCCTCCAAATCCTGGCTTCCTCTCGGTCCCCTGCCGCAGCCCCACTGGTGCAGAGCTAAGAGACGTGGCTGCCACCTCCTTGGAGAGCCCTGCCCTCGGAAGAGGCCTCCCCCCCCAACCTCTCCGCCTCATCAACCCTCCAACTCATTTCCGACCTTGGCTGAAAACATCTTTTTTCCCTGAGATGGTGCCTTTTAATGTCTCTCTCCCCTGCGGGCTGTGCGGCTCTGCAGAGCCCTTGGGACAGATGCTGCGGAGAGACGGCCGTCAGACTGCGTGGCGGCGTGTGCCCTGCTGCGCACCACTGAGTCTGCCTGCACACCTCGCAGGCAGGCAAATGGGGCCGTTTTCCAGTGGGCCTCTGCTCCCCCTTGCTCCTAAAGAGCTGGTATCCTAAACTCTTAGCTTAGGTCCACGGCAGCAAACAGCACCCAGAAGATCTAGGAGACGACTGGGAAGCTGCAGACTCCGGAGAAGAGGCAGGTCTGCTTCCAGGCCGAGCCCTCCCCTGTCGGCGTCAGTGAGATGCAAAGGGCAGGCTCTGGAGGAGCACCGTCATTTCAGGTGGGCCACCAGGTCGCTCGGAGACACGTGGAGGAAAGCGGGGAGGGAGAAGACGGGGGACGGGGGGAGGGAGCACTCTGGATCGGTTATACTACCACTACAGCTGGGAACGGAGCCAAAGCCACCTTGTCTCGTCTCCTATTCCACACAATGGTTTTGATTCATTTACCCTCTCTCTGCAAATCCTCATGACAGATGCTACAATGACAAAGGGGAGGGCATTCTTGGCTCCCAGGCCCGCCTTCTGGCCACAAGGCACAACCACCAGCCTGTGCTGCTGCCTGGTCTGCCCAACCCCTACACAATGCCCTCTGCTCCCAGCTGACAGGCACAGGACTCCTCGCCACAAAAGCCCGAAAGGCAACCCATTTCTGATGTAGCTATACAGATGAGCAACAAGGAAGTCGCGAGGCCTGGAAGGAACATAGGCATTCGCTACGGGGTCAAGGAAGCATCTGAGACCCCAGCAGAGGCAGCCGCACTGGGATGGGCGTGACACAAAGTCAAGGTGCTGACCGGCCCAGGAGGCGGGGGAGCCTCAGTCCCGCCTGAGCCCTGTGCCCTGCCTCCGCTGCCCCAACCCCGTCTCTGCCCAGATCTTCCTCTCTGAACCACCCTCGCCCGTCCTCACAGAAGGCCACCAAGACTTGGGAAAGCCATACAATCCCTTGGGGTCACAGCTTTCACCACCGGCTACATCACCGTCTGACAAACATGGCCACCCACTTCCGGGCCTGACCCCTGTGCGCTCACACATCCTGCCAGCTCTTGGTGACACTGCCAGGGAGCAGTCAGTGCAGGAACCTGTCTCTGCTCAACAGTCAGCCCCAATCCTGCTGGGTTCGCCGAGGGGAAAATCTATAAACCCTGGCAGCTGCCTCTCTCCACACAGAGAAAAGGCACAGTGGCTGCAGACAGAAGTCACAAGTCCAGGGGTGCCAGCGACCACAGCCAGCTCCAACTTCTACAACGCACTAGTGTTGGGAGCCTGGGCAGATTCCTCCAGTTCCCTGGGCCTCTGCTCCCTCATCTGAAAAAGAGGTGAGGGAGGGGGAGAATGGGAGGACAGCTAAAAGATTTCTTCACGGTGGAAGTGCTTGGTGCAACAACGCAGGTGCGTCACACATACACACACATGGATGCTGTACCACTCCAACTACACGGAGGCGACGAACTGGGAAAACGAGCCTATGAGGCTGAAACCAGTGGAGACTGTGGTGGACAGACTGAGGGGGCTGGAGGGATGCACGCTCCATGCCTGAGCTGGGGGGCTGTTATGTGACATGTACACATGCAGACACGCATCAAATGGCACACTTCAGATCTGTGTGCCTCAGCGCACACAGAGACCTCAAGGAAAGTAGATTTAAGGGAAAAAGTCATATTTGGTAGAGGCAGAAACATGACTGACCAGGACTGTGCTGGCGATGAGCCAGAAGGCATTCCCTGGCCCACCCCGGTACTGCAGGTCCTAACCAGGAGCCCCGGGGACCTGCTAACCCAGGCGTGGACTGGTGATGGCCCTGTAGGGGTCTCGAGGGTGCACACAGAGCAGCAAGGATACACTCTTCCCCCTGCACGCTCTACTTGCTGCGCCGGGGCCAGAGCATCCCTCCCCACAACTGCAGGGGGAACGGCGTGCAGGCAGTGTACACACGGTGCAGGGCAGGGACAGACACACAAAGCTGGCCCTTACACCTCCGGCGAGACTGGCGGGGTGGGGCTGACCGCCACCTTCTCCTCAGGTTCCTCGGCCTCTTCCTGCCCAGGGCCCAGCTCCTCGGCCTGGGAGCGCTGCTCCGTGCCCCGCTCGTGGGAAGCAGGCGGGCTTGGGGCCTGTTCCCTTGATAGCATGAGGAAACAACTGTGTTAAAGCCAGGAGGAAGAAGAGAGGCTCACACACACCCCGGGCAGGACCAAAGCGCTGTGATGGGGACGAGAGGGACACTGTTTCCCTGCCTTGGGTCTCCATCCTCCCCTCTCCCCCCACCGCCTCTCCCCTCACTGACTGCACAAAGCCCAGAGGCTCCCCCGACATGGGGAACAGGATGGTTACGGCACCCCAGGAGCAGCTCTGCACACAGCAGGTGTTCAACGGCTGCTGCTGACTGAACATCGCTGCTGCTCAGCTCCCCGGGTGACTCACTGCAACCAGAGGAGTGCTCAGGGCCACAGAGGACCTGCAGGTGGACGCCGAGCTCTGGAGCGGGCCAGGCCACAAAGGGCTTCTCAGAGGCCTCAGCGCTGCTTCTCCCTCCCTCCCTCCCCTAGCGCCTAGCACAGAGCAGGGCTCCGGCTGGGTGGCCGGGTGATCAGATGGGAGGGACTGGGGAGTATGGCTCTCCTGACAGGCATGGGCAGCCAGGTGATGGCAGAGCCTCTGCCCCAGCCCCCAGGAGGGAAGCAGCTGGGAGACAGGAGACTCCTCCTTGCTCAGGAGTTCCCTCGCTCCTCTGTTCAGACTGGGCACCCCACTTTCAGTTCTGGGCTGGGGACTAGGAAGCAGATTTTCTCATTCCGCAGTTCCTGGGGAACACCAAGCAGGGCTCTGGGCTACAACCTGCCCCAGCTCTCACCTCCCTCCCTAGCTCTGCCCTCCCTAACCGTACACACGCCAATCACATGCAACCACACCTGAGGGGCCACCACCACCCAGGGCGCCTCCCCTCCTCCTCCTCACCTCTGGAGGAACATCAGCGGCACAGGACTGGTTATGGACTCCTCCCCAGGTTCTGCTGCCTCCTGCCCCTCGGGTGCCTGCAGAGGCCCCTCCTCCGTGTCCTGGCTATGAAGGGGACTCTGGAGCCGCACCCTGGTCAGCAGTGGAGGAGACAACCTGGATGCGCCAGCAAGAGTAGCACTCAGGGCAGGAGAACCTGGGAGTGCAGTGAGCCCACTGAGATCAGCTCCTCCCCCAAGACTTGGCCCCGGCCCCACAGATGGCCACAAAGCAAAGCACTGGACGTGCAGCAGGGAGGGACTCCCTGGCCCGCAGTCAGGCTCCCTGGGCCCTTGCACTGCATTTGCTCAGTCCAAGAGCAAGAGCTGGACACACAAGTGCCTCTGTTCCCACTTTACCACCATCAGATCTTCAGAGCCAGGGGGGATGGAAAAACTGAGTAGAAATGGGGAGAAAAAGAGATGCCAGACTCAAGGGCTCAGATGACAGAAAATACATGAAGCTATAGCTTTAAGAGTAAGAATGTTGATGGCTTTTTTTTTTTTTAAGATTCATTTTTATTTATTTGAAAGGCAGAGTTACAGAGAGAGAGAGAAAGACAGAGAGGTCCTCCATCCATTGGTCCACTCCCCAAATGGCCACAACTGCCAGGACTAGTCTAGGATGAAGCCAGAGCCAGGAGTTTCCTCCTGGTCTCCCACGTGGGTGCAGGGGCCCAAGCATTTGGGCCATCCTCCACTGCTTTCCCAGGTGCATTAGCAGGGAGCTGGATCAGAAGTGGAACAGCCAGGACTCGAATCGGTGCCCAAAAAGGATGCCAACACTGCAGGCAGCAGCTGTACCAGCTATGCCACAACACTGGCCCCGATACTGATGACTTTCTAAGGTCCAAAAAGTAGAACGAGTTTCCTTCCACCTGCAGGGTGGTGGCCTTATCATGGGCTCAAGCTTAACGAACTGGCAGCCCCAAACAGTCAATCTCGTACTTACACACATACACACACAGAGCCACAGCCACATCTGATGTGGCAGCACCCTGGCTCAGAGGCCTGAGTTGCAAAACTGACCACTAGTATGACTCTCTCAGACCTCCAACAGGCTGGTTCAGCCCTACCTATGACCAGACACACATGGCTTAATCACCGTACTCCAGTGAGGAAGACAGCCCTGGCTCCACAATGGTGCTATGCACAGAGTCCCACCAAATAACCCGGCAACCCTTCACATCCTGTCTTGGTGCCAAATTGGAAGTTAATTCATGCACACACACACATACACAGACACACACACACACACAGACTTCCAAAGCCACGCAGCCAGCTCATCATCAGGACAGGAGCACACCAAGCCATGCCAACCACCAAAGCCAGGACATCTGCTCAAGTCCACAGCATCCTGACGGCTTTCCATGTCTCAGCTTGCAGAGGGCAGCCCCCCTCGCACTGTACCTCTCCAAGCCACCGGAGTGCCTGCTCTGCAGCTCCTCTCGGCTGGACTGGCTGTCATCCTGGTGTTCTCGTCCCAACTTCTGGGCCTGGGGACAAGAAGCAATGGAAAGTATGGGTTGCAGGAGGCTGCATTTGGGTCCCCTCACGCCTGCTGACCCCCATGCTTAGCAGAAAGCTCTGAGTGGTGGCTCTCAAAAGAGGACGGGGACCACAGTGGGACACAGAACAGAAGGCCCGGGTGCGGCAAAAGGAAGCTTCCCGCACACTGTTGGCTAAACCTCACCCCTCACTGCTCACAGCTGGATGATGAGGCAGACGACCACAGCCACTGCACACAGAACCAGAAGCCAGAGGCAGGAGAACACTCAAGAAAAAGAAAACCCTGCCTCGCACTGCAGAGAGAAAGCACAGATATCCACAAACATCCCAAGCCACAGAGGCCTCCATCAGCAGTGCCAGTGACGTACAGGGCTGCTAAAATCCAGTAGGCAGAACTGGGGCCAGCAGACAAGCATGCTGAAAAGAAGGTCTCCTGGAGAGATAGAGTCTTGGTGGAACAACAGAGCTACACCCCAGACAAAGAGGGCACCGTCAGGCCCCCCAGAAGGGTAGAGTCCTTCCACTGTTCCATTCCGGGCTCCCTGGAAGACCCAGGCCCTGCAGTGGACAATGACACCCTCTTCCCAGGAGGCAGAGATTACATCACCCATCCCAAACGAAACAACAATCCACACACACACACACAAAAAAAAACCTTTAAAGCTTAGGTGTCCAGGCAAATTTAACAAAGTGGTTAAAAAAAAAAGAAGAAGAAAAGAAAGTATTATTATTATTCTTGATCATTTCAAATAAATGTTTTCCACAAGGGCAGAACAGTGTGGTCAGCCTGAGGTCAACCCCTTGTTCCAGCACTTTCTACCCGGGAATTCTGTCTCTTCCACTGTAAAACGGGAGAGCAGATGGCAAGGGTTAAGTTAGAACGTGTACCTTATGCCCAACTCCTAGCCTGAAGCAGCCACACCACGCTAGCTCCTCTTCCCACACTCCTCTCCCTCCACCCCAGCTTAAGGCAAAAGCGGAAAAGAAAGAAGAAAAGGCGTTGAGAGTGAGTGCCAGTCCCCATCCTAGCACCTGCACTCCTCCTGTCACCCCGACAGCAGCCCCGTTTGTTCTGGGACACAGAGGTCAACAGGAGAGGGAGGGCAGGAGACAGCTCACTCTGTCTTTCCCAGTGGGGTCCCCAGCCCTGTGCCTACCGGCCCCACACCTCACCGCTGGCAGCCTGAGCCCAGCAGCTGTGGCTGATGCTGCCATCTGGATGGGCGAGGAAGGGCAGGGCCTGGACTACAACCCAGTTCCCCCAGATCAGATTAAAAATAGCAGCGCCACCTGTGAGAAGCTCCCGGTGCCTGCAGCAGAAGGGCTCCCCGCCAGGGCTGCCAGTCCTCATCGCATCAGCCTGGGCACAGCCTGCAGACCATGACGAGGGTGTGCAGCCCCCGCCACTCTCCACTCTCCTCCCCACCTCCCGGTGTTCAGTGCACAACAGGTCTTCCCCCACCAACTACACGAGCTCATCAAACTCCTCCCTCAGTCGCTTCTCAAGGGAAAAAAAAATAAAAAATAAAAAAACAAGAATATCACACAGGCTCCCAAGAAAATAAAAAACAAGAATATCACACAGGCCAACTCCATTTAACAAACTAAAACAGAAGAGGAGTTTTCAAGAAAGTGCGGTGCTCACAATGACCATTTGGGAACTGAGGCCTGAGTCAGACAGGTCTCCCAGACAATACCTGAAGCACCACAAGGAAAAAGACCAAGTCTATCTGTCCACCCCCGTCTTGCTTCATCTTTGTATTTCCCTGTGAAACAGAACTAGCCCCCACGGGAAAAGGGGGTACGCTGGGAAAACATCTGGACAGAAGGTCTGTTGAGTAGAGTTTCACTCACTCCAAAGACCTCGCTGCCACAGAAAAGGAACCAAGGGAGCAGACCAGGAAACCAGCAATCTTCCACAAGGCAAGACGGCAAGCGCATCCTCCACTCTGGCCTGAAGCTACTCAAGATGCCATTTCCCCTGTCCTACCTCAGTTCCAGGGGTCAGTCTTTGTTCAAGGTCCAGGCCCCAGTGAGATAAAGCATGGTGCATTCTCACTGCCACAGGAGCTCCCCAAGGCACCTGTTCCTTGCTGCCTAGTCCCACCTGCCCTTGTTTGTGCTTTCACCTCCCTCTTGCTCCACAAATGGGGTGACCAAAGCCCAGAAGGGATAGCTCGATCAGGCAGAACTAAGAGGAACATGTAGGGCTCAACTGCAATCAGCCAGACAACTCTGGTCTCTGGTCTGTCTCCAGCATGCATTTCAGCAAGGGCTCCCAGGTCAGGCTCATGGTAAACCCAGGAGGGGAGTGGAACAGGTATCTGTTTCATTCAACATTCAACATTTCCACACCAAATTCTACCTTAACCGTGCAGAGACCTGTGTCAGAACCTTTGTCTCCTAACCAACCCGCAGAGGAGAAAAAACTGTCTTCTCAGCTTGAAGTCCCTTAAGGACAGGGTCTGTGTCTGGGTCATCTTTGTATATCCCTGGGCTCAGGTGTCATCCATGCCCGCAAAGAGCTTGCATCTGGCCGGGGAGAGAGACAAACAAGTATAAAATACAGCACAAGAAGCACTAAGGGGGCCGGCATCGCGGCTCAGTAGGCTAATCCTCCACCTTGTGGCGCCGGCACACCAGGTTCTAGTCCCGGTTGGGGCGCCGGATTCTGTCCCGGTTGCCCCTCTTCCAGGCCAGCTCTCTGCTGTGGCCAGGGAGTGCAGTGGAGGATGGCCCAAGTGCTTGGGCCCTGCACCCCATGGGAGACCAGGAGAAGCACCTGGCTCCTGCCATCGGATCAGCGCAGTGCGCCGGCCGCAGCACGCCGACCGCGGCGGCCATTGGAGGGTGAACCAACGGCAAAGGAAGACCTTTCTCTCTGTCTCTCTTTCTCACTGTCCACTCTGCCTGTCAAAAAAAAAAAAAAAGAAGAAGAAGCACTGAGGGCAGCAGAGAGGGGAAGAATTCATGCACACATCGGGGGCAGTCTCACCAGGACCAAAGGGGAAGCGGCCTGGCAGGCAGAGTGGTAGTGCCGGAGGCAGAGGGAGTGAGAGCTCTGCTCTGAGAAAAGCGTGTGGCAGCCCTGCTGGTGGGAGCAGGTAGACCAAGCACGAGGCTGGGAAGAGTGGAGGGGCGAAGGTAGAAAAGGCCTCAAAACCACAGCTCACACGGCGCTTTGCATGTCAGCGCCAGTCAACCCTCAGCTGCTGAATGAATGGATAAATGGACGAATACACGGGAGGAAGACTGCTTTAATTCACAGCAGCCACAGAGCAGGAATGGTCAGAGCCTCATGAAAGGCACAGTGAGGGCCATGCCTGAATGAATTAAAAGGGAGAGAACTTTCAGAAACACACCCAGGAATAGGCCAGGGCTCAGCTCTGGGTTATTCCAAAAACTGGCTGCCAGGCAGAAGGAAGCCCCAGCGCAGCCCATCACGCCGAGACTCACCTCCCAGCAGGCTCCGTCCAGGACTGGGGAAAGCACATCCACATCCAGCAGGCGCTCCGAGATCCGGCTGCGGAAACCAAAGTCCTAGGGACGGTAAGGACGGGAGGTCAACCGGCCTGTGTCACGGCCAGTGCTCACCGAGCCTCTCCTCTGACCTCGATCCCAACTCGAACCTTCCAGAAAGGGCCCCACGACATGCCAGACACTGTGCCAAACATTCTAGCTGCCACTAATTTATCCCACAAAATGTCACTGTAACTAGATGGAAACATAGGTGATAAATCAAGAATGGTAACAATGTGTACTGTAGACTCTGTGTAGTGAGCATTATAAAGTCCTTTTAGCTTTTCCTTATGCTTGAGACTTTTCATAGTAAAATTATGGGGAAGAAAATAACCCTGAGACTGAAGCTCTTATCCCTCCTCCCAGTGATGGGGAAGCACACAGACTGCCCAAGGTCCCACAGCTGATAAGCAAAGGGAACTGGGAGTCAGGTGGGCCCAGGGGCTGACTCCCCACCCGGGGCTCTTTCTCTGATACATACTGCAAAAGCTAGTCACTTCCCGGCTGTCTCTCCCCCTCCAGTGCCCAACCAGGCCACCAGAAGGGAGGCCAAAGTGCCCAGCAAAACTGCACAACTTGGCAAGGAGGCTTGGTGGGCTCTGTCCAGCTCATTCCTTCCCTGGCCACACAATGCCCTCTGGAAGACAGGGATTAATTATCAGCACTTCCTCCACAATCTTGTCTCTGGGACAGGCAGCAAGTGCCCCACTCCGGTGCCAGCTCCTCAGGACCCTTTGGCTGCCACAGGACCACGCCCCCTCTGAGCCTGAGACCCCTGCTGGGCTAAGTGAAGGATTGCTACCCACAGCACACTAATGGGGACAGCTCTGTCATCAGCCCTGACAAATGGCAGGACGCCCAGACCAGGTCTGGTCCTGCTGTCCACGGCTTCCTGCCTCTCCTCCTGTGGAGAAGAAAAATGCTGATGGGCACATTTCTGCACGTGGGTGGATGCCTCGCAAGGGCCACAGGCCTGGCTTCAGAGAGCTCGGTGACACGGCTATTCTTCATGGGCAGTTTTTGCCAACGACAATGGCTGTCTGCCCTCCCTTCCTAGCCTACAGGGCTTTTTTCCCTTTTTAGGTGACATTTCCCTTTCAGTCTGAGTCCTACGCCACTTAATGCAGCCGCCATCTGCCTCTTAAGCCCCTGGCTCAGTGAGAGGCTGGAGCACACAGCCCCCTAATTCCTCTGCACCCCTCACATCACTGCTGCTCATCCCTGACCCTGGCCCACTAATCCCTTCCCTTTGATCTGCTTCCTCCAGACAGATGGAGGATGGTTTCCAGAGGTCACATCGGCCAAAAAGCCCCTCCAGCCACTCTCCTTAGGCACAGACCTGGCAGGTGTCCCTGCATCCAGCAGGCTGGGTTGGGGGAGACCACGCAGGCTGGCATTCCAGCACAAAGTCTGGGTCCTCACACAGCTCTGGGGATTCCATAAACACAATGCACCACTCTCTACCCTCCCAGATTCCGTAACGCTCAACCCACATGATCTCACAGGCCAGGCACACAACACCAAGAGCAATGAGAGCTGACAATTATTGAACATGTAGATGTTCACATTTTACACTCTTACCTTACTTTCTTCTCACGACACACCTATAAAGTAGGCACTGTTATCTTAGTTCATGGGCTACCAAGCCCCAGATGTGAGTGCCAACCTCCCTACTTACTGTGTGATGCCTGGCAAATTCCCTCCCCCTGGGGACTTGAACTTCAAGCTCTTCACCATCCCCCCCCGCGCCCCGCCCCCTGCTGCCCCTCTACTCGACTCACCAGGCCACGGAGGGGCTTGGAGTCAGAATCCATGGAATCCGAGAGATGCAGTTCCTTCATGTGTTCACTGATCTCTGACTCCTGGGAAGACAGAGGTCCCGAGAAATGTCCCCGGGCAGGGCACAGGGGTCAGAGGTGCTGCCCAGGGACTAACACTCAGGCTATGGAGGAAGACAGGACTCAGGCCAAACCGAAACCCACCCCTTCTAGAAAAACCTGCAGGAGGCCCATGGGCCCTGCTCTCCAGATATAAGCCTCAGCCTCCACCCCCTGGACCTAGGCAGCCCAGCCCCACTCTGAATCAGACCAACAAGGATTTACACACATAAGGGGTCAAGTGCAGCACAGAGGGTAAAAAAGTTGGCAACATGGAATTCTGACACCATCCTAAAAAACAGAGTATCTTTTCTAGGAAATGGGTAAGAGCCGTTCAGATGAATTCCCTTACCATCCACCTGGAGGAGAAATAGGACTAAGGGTTGGGAAATCTAAAATGCCAAGGGTTCTCCCCTCTCGGACCTACTTCTGTCCATGTTGATGGCTGGCCTGGTCTTGCCAAAGCAAGCATTGCCTGCCTTGGGTTGGTTCAGAAGCAGTAACAGGAATCAAGAGTCTTCCTGTCACTTAACCCACCCAGAGTGGGGCAGGCACTCCAACCGCAGTGCCCTCTGCTCCCGGGGCTCCCCAGCACACAGAACATCCTCCTCTCTCTATAGGAACCTGACTGCAGCAATCCTCAGGGAAGCAGAGTGGGAGGCAGGACAGGGGAAGGGGGAGGAAGCAGAGGAAAAGAACATGAATATCCCAGGAGGGTGCCGAGGGAAGAGCGGGTTTCTGCTCTGGGTTTCTAGTGCTGGGAGGTCCGCAGGTTCATTCAGACTTTTACTGCCTGCTGGGTCTGGGCGTATTTGTCACTGTTAAAGGTTCTGGCTGCTGCTGACAGCCCAGCACAGGGCCTGCAAAGGAACTCCTGACTCCATAATGAATTTGCAGGAGAGGAGGCGGTGCAGGGCTGAAGGGAGCAGCGGAGGGCTGCAGCCAGCAACTGCCTGGGAGACACAGTGACTTACTTCGCTGTCGTCTGATCTGGCCTCCTTCTTTGGCTCCTTCGCTGCCTCCTCTCTTTGGGAACCCTCCTCTGCGGCACCCACCGGATCCTCTGGTGGCTCCATCGCAGAGGCCCGGGCAGGCGGATCATCCCCAGGGTCCACTCCAGGAGTCAGCAGACTCAGGGAAGCACCAGGATCGCTCTTCTCATTCTCCTCTTTCTCTGGCAGCCAAGGTCTTGCCCCTGTCTCCTGCTGCTCTTTGCCAAGGGCACTGCTCAGACTGCTGCCCGCACCTTGGCTGGAGAGCTGGCCGGGAGCAGCGGGATGGGCAGCATCCGAGTCTAGGGAAACAGCCTTCTTCTCCGGCTGGCTGGACTTCAGAGACTCCTAGGGAGCGCGGACAAGTTGGAAAGGAAGACAGCAGGAACGCACAGGAGTTTAGAGACTGCTCTAAGACCCAGCCGCCACTCCTCCACGCCCACAGCCATTGCCCGAGACCCAACTCCAATGACTACCAAACACCCACACAGCTTTTTAAAGCACAGAGTGCTGGTTCGATCCTAGATCCACAGAATACGAATTTCTATGGTGATTTAGATAAAACCAACTGGACCCCGTCCACTGATGGGCTAGGAAGTCACTGCTCTGGACTGTTCAAGTCCACCCTGCAGTGACACATCTGCCTTGCTCTGATAGCAAGAAGCTGGTGTTTCATCCAGATAACGGATAATCGTGGGAGACAAAGATCACAAAGTCTGAATTCCCATTTTCCTCTGTGAAGGGCAGCAGGATTCACAGCGGCAGGAGGCTGCCCTTCATCTCCACAGCCTCCCTGTGCAAGGTGATTCTCGGCAACACCGGAGAGGCTTCCTCCGCGAGGAACGTCAGGGCCAGGCCCCTGAGAAGCAGACGCCAGGAAGGGACGCTGTGCAGGAGACTCACTCGGGCACAGGCCTAGCAAAGACAGAGGAGGTGGGAAGAGAACACCACGTGGGCCTGCTCCCTGTGACAGGAGACAGGGAGGGGAGGGAGAGCCTTCTGTGTCTTGGCCAGCCCAGTGAGAGTCCCCAAGCAGGCTGTCACGAGGGGAGTCCCCCATCAGCCACTCAGAGTCCTGCTCTCAGGGCCCTGTTGTCTCCCATCATTAGGAGAAAGCACAGCAGCACAGCCCTGCACTGCACCAGGGTGGATGGAGGGGCAACAGCTGGAGGCTGTCGATCAACCAAGCTCGCCTCAACAACTTGTCTCTCTTGTTTGTTTGTTTGTTTTTAAGATTTATTTATTTCAAAGGCAGAGCTGCAGAGAGGCAGAGGTAGAGAGAGAGAGAGAGAAAGAGAGAGAGAGATCTCCCATGTGCTGGTTCACTCCCCAGATGGTCACAATGGCTGGAGCTGGGCCAATCTGAAGCCAGGAGCCAGGGTGCAAGGGCCCAAGAACTTGGGCCATCTTCCACTGCTTCCCCAGGCCATAGCAGAGAGCTGGATTGGAAAAGGAGCAGCCAGGACTTGAATCGGTGCCCATATGGGATGCCGGCACTGCAGGTGGTAGCTTTACCTGCTACACCACAGTGCCAGCCCTGCAACGTCTCATAAAAGGAGAAGTGAGCAGCACACCCCTCCAGGTAAATGCCAGTAAAAACCTGAGGGCTGCTTCTGCTTCAATTCCTCAGGGTCACCTAAAACAGAAGAAGGAAGCCCTCCCTCGGCAGTACGGCCAAGGAGTTCCCCTGGTCCAAGCTGCAGAGCCTTCCTCCCAGAAAACAGCTGAGCTAACACTTGGGGCACTGAGCAGGGACTTCTCAGACTTCCTGGTTCCTGAAGACTCAAACAAGAAGCACGATGACTAGGGAGATAAAGGCCCGAGGAGGAGCACTAAACACAGCATTTATTAATGTTCTGCTAAGCACCTGTCGATCCCAAAGATACGATCGCCACTCATAGGCCTGCCTGGCAGCTATTGTCAAAGTAACCCAAGCTCTGCAAGGATGGCAGAGAGAGGCAGTGAAGCTCAGTGGTTCACAGCTCAGCTCTGGAAACAGACTTCTCCATCTAAGGTGCGGCTCCACCCCTACTGACCTGTGTTCTTAGGCAGCAATTAACTCCTTGGTGCCACCTTCCTTCTCTAAAACACAAGAACAGAGTAGTGTCTACCTCACAGGATTGTTGGGAAGATTGAATGAGTAACACTAAGCGAGTTCAGCAACTCAGAACCATCCCTGGCACCCTGTCAGTGTCCCTGGATGTGATGAGACCCACACGTTCATCCACTGACACCTGCCATGGCCAGACCCTGCCTTGCAGATCCGAACGTGACCAGGACACAGATCCTTAGAGAAGTGAAGTAGCACTGGTGGCTCTGGTTTATGAACCTTTACTGCCCAAAGCAAAGAGGCACTAGACACAGGTGTGACACTGTCACCAGCCCCAAGCCTGTCCCAGCAGAAAGGCAGAGGCGTCTGTCGCACCTTGGCAACAGAAAGGTAGGTTCCCTCCAGGGCTGCCCCTCCCAGCATCCCTGACCTCTAGCACAGAAGTCTGCAGTGATCACTGGTACCTGCTGGCTCACTCACAAGATGGCCACAGCAGATGGGGCTGGACCAGGCCAAAGCCAAGATCCAGGAGCTTCTTCCAGACCTCCTACATGGGTGGCAGGGGCCCAAACACTTGGGCCACGTTACGCTGCTTTTCCCAGGCCATTAGGAGGGAACTGGATTGGAAGTGGAGCAGCTGGGACAGGAACTGGTGCCCATATGGGATGCCTGCATTGCAGGAGGGGGCTTCACCTGCCGTGCCACAGCACCGGCCCCAGAGTTCCTCTTCTTCAACAGAAGCGGCTGCAGGTTGGGGTCTGGCCTTCTCACTCCACACCCCCAGCAGCAGCCAGCACTCAGCAGGAGCTCTACAGCTGGTCTAAGGGCTCCACGGAATGGGGGTTCCATGGAGTAGGAGCGACTGGCCACTCGACCCCTCACCCAGCAACCCTGAGGGCTCATTCCAGATTAAGGCAAGGCTCTCTGGCATGAGGTTGGCATTAAGATCTGGCCCCAAGAGAGCTCCCTGGAATAGACCTGGGGTCAGAGGACAGAGCAGGTGTCAGACCACAGACAGGGTCAGTGGCCTTCAGAATACAGTAAACTGCTCCACTTCCAATCCAGCTCCCTGCTGACGGCCTGGGAAAAACAGTGAAGGATGGACCATGTGTTTGGGGCTTGGCCACCCACGTGGGAGGGAGACCTTGCTGAAGCTCCTGGCTCCTGGCTTTGGCCTGATCCAACTCTGGCCATTGCAGCCACTTGGGGAGTAAACCAGCAGATGCAAGATCACTCTCTCTGTCTCCCTCTGTTTCCCTCTTCTCTGTAACTCTGCCTTTCAAATAAATAAATAAGTCTTTTTTTTTTTTTTGGAAAAAAAAAAGAATATATTTGTTACAGTGTTAAATTGAAAATAGCTAAACAAATGTAACTACTAATTTCCTACTCAAGGTGATATACACACAAATGGCCTATCAGAAATCGGAGGACACCAGCTACACGGAGAGATTCCCATGGTTACATAGGAGAGAATGTAGCCAGGCTACAAGAATCTTTGGCCCAATCTATTTCACTCTCAAGCTTAACTTCTTCAAAAGAAGATTTTCACATGGTGAGCTGAGCCTACTCTGCCTACCTAAATACTAAGATAGCAAAACATGGCTAGTGTTAGAACACCTGACCTCACACTCTGTGCTCATGCTGGGAATCACAATGACAGAACAGCCAGGGGTGCACCCTGAGAGTGGGGAAAGCAGAGAGGGACTCACACTTGTTGTAGATCACCCACAGATGAACGCGTGGGGCTGTCTGAAAAACCCACTCTGCTCCCTGCTTCTCTCCTTTCAGCCATAACCGGGTCTCATCCCACCAGGGGGTGAGCCCAAGACCTAAGGCCCCAGCCAGCATGCACACTCCAGCAATGAGGCACAGCCAGTCTCCCACCCGAGGGTCTGGGATGCACAGGACGGGGGCCCTGTGGCCTGACCACAGCTTTGCGTCAGCCCATCTCGGGCTCATACTTCTCTGTCTCTCCTGTCACAGTCCCAGGTCCTAGAGTATCTCAAGGCATATTTCAAAACTTTACCATCTGCATGAGGAAAGGGTGCAAGAGATGCCTGTAAGAACCATCTCATGAAGGGCTGGTGCTGTGGTGCAGCAGGTAAAGCCACCACCCGCAGTGCTGGCATCCCATATTGGCACCAGTTCAAGTTCTGGCTGCTTCAATTCTGATCCAGCTCCCTACTAATATACCCAGGAAAGCAGAAGATGGCCCAAGTGTTTGGGTCTCTCGCATGTGGAACAAGTTCCTGGCTCCTGGCCTCAGATCAGCCCAGCTCCAACCACTGCAGCCATTTGGGGAGTGATCCAGCAGACAGAACACCTCTCTCTGTCTCTCCTTCTCTATGTAACTCTGTCTTTCAAATAAATAAATAAATAAACCTTAAAAAAAAAATCATTTCATGAGTATGTAACACCCCCTCCAAGAGCCATGAGGTCTCCCGTGCTGATGTCCCCATCTTCCTGGCCAGAGCACAAAGGCTGGGGCTCCTACAATCTTCACAGCACAGGAAGGGGCTGTGAGGGGCAAGAGCTGAATGCCTCGTCCATGCACTGACCCTGTTCTGGGGGAACCCCGCCAAGCTGACCAACAGGCCAGTGGATTTTCCAGGTCTGCTTCCCACCCAGTCAGTCTCCATTCTTTGCACAGCTCCCTGGTGATGTCACTGCTTTCCAGTCACACTGACATCATCCTGTTACTTCTAAGCCAGGCTCCCTCCCGCTCCTTTGATCCGCTGATGGGCTTTTCAGCAGCGCCACATGGCCACACACCACCTGCTTGCCTACCCCTCGGCCTCCCCGGCTCACTCACACACGTCCTCAGCATTGGTTCCACAAACCTTCCCTGTTGAGTCTATGATAGACTAGAAATGGGTTTAAGCAGGAGAGGAGGGAGGAGACAGAGGGAGAGATGCATTCTTGCCATCCTACTGCCCTCTCATGGAATGAGGAGCAAAGTGACTGTGCAGGGAGACAGGGCAGAGCCAACCGTGGAAGGAAATCTCCATCTGGCGCTGCCCAGCTGGCCCAGGAGTGGGGAAAGGGGGGTGGCTCCAAGAATTCAAGGTCTGTAAACTGGGACAAAAGCCATTTGCTAAGGGCAAGGCCCAAGCAGAGGCAGCTCAGCCTGTCCTAAAACCCCCATTCTTCCCCAGCACTAATTTTCCCCAACAAGGAAAGCCTAATTCCTGCCTAGGAACACAGCGATCCAACACCCCATGTGGCAAAAAGACTGAAGTCTTCTGGGATGCTAGAGACAGTGGTGGGAGGTGTATTTAACACCACCTGCTCCAGCCAT